CGGCTCGCCCACCACTCCCACAGGTGAGGGCGCGGACTACGCCTCCCGGCATGCCCCGCGCCGCGCAGCGCTTCCCTGGCCTGGGCGGGCCGCGGGGGGCATGCTGGGATCTGTGGTCCGTAATGGCTCCGGGTTGGGTGAGAACCGTGCATCCTGGGAGTTGTAGTCCATAATGGCTGAAGGGGCGATGCATGCTGGGAGCTGTGGCCCTTAATGGCTGCGGGTTGAAGGAGCGATGCATGCTGGGAGCTGTGGCCCTTAATGGCTGCAGAGTGAAGTGATGCATGCTGAGACTTGTAGTCCCCAGCTGGTGCTGAGACTCCGCACCCAGGCTGTGCTGGGTTGGGGCACGTGGGGCACCTCATTCCCCCTGGCTTCTCCCTCCTTGCTCCTTGGCCCCACGGTTGCTCACGAAGCCAGAGCAGGCTGCTCTTGCGCTGAAAATCAGGGGCCCTCCGAGGAGCTGATGGGCTGAGTAGCAAGGCTTGGCTTTCCCAGCCTGGCAGAGCTCTGAGAGAAGCGGGCGTGGGCCTCCATGCTGTTGGAGCTGCCAGGCGGGCTTCCCTCTGTGCTGCGTGAGGCCTGGAGGCCTCTGATCCGACTCCCTTCCCCTCTGGGCAAGAGCATTCCCTGCCCCTGCATGCTGACGGGTGTTTTTCCTCCGTGCCCCGGCAGGACGGCTTTCAACAACAACATCAGCATGGCTTATGAGTGCCTGGGCGCCAGCGGCAGGAGGAAGAAGCCCGGGGTCAACGGGAGGATCTACAGCGAGCTGCTCAGGAGGATCTGCCAAGACAGCGAGGCCCCTCAAGAGGTCACTTCTCCTCTGCTGCAGAGGATCCAGTGCCGGGACCACGAGGCGGTGCCGTTCGACGTCTTCCGCTACGGGGTGCTCACCTGCTTCGTGCTGCTTGAGTTCGTGGCCAAGGCGGACACGCTGTACGATGTGCTGGACGATGGCTCTGGCGTCGCAGACAAGAGGGTCTGCCAGGCCGTGCTGGGCACCCTGGAAGAGGCCCTTGGAGCCAGCGACTTCTCTGTGCCCATCCGGTACTTGGAGGCTGGCTCCAAGCTGGGCCCGGACTGTTTGGCCGTGGCCATGGACCGTGCGTTGCTGGAGAGGAAGCTCAGCACCTCCATGAAGAGGGAGGAGTTTCTCAAGAAAGCCGCGGTCCTGTTCATCGCAAAAGTGAAACCTGTTGATTGATCTCCCTGGGAAGAAGCCCCGCTACCCCCTGCCCTTCCCTTCCCGCACTCTCAATGCTGTTTTAGGGAAATAATTTATTCTTAGTTGAGCTGCAAATCCTAGGACTGGAGATCTCCCATCGAGGCCGCAGAGAGAGCCAAAGGGACTGAGCAGGTTCTGCTCTTTGCCTGGAGAGCCCTAGATCCACTGGACTTTCATTTCCCTCTTGCCTCCTCATTATCCCAAGCACCAGAAATGCCACATATGCCCCGAGCCTCCTGTTTTTTACAGTGTTTGATTTCAGTAGGTATCTGCAACTTCCGTGTCAATTGTAGCCTGAGATGCTCCTGGAAAGCCCATAGCTGGCAGGGCAGCATGAGCCACCCGGACTGAGGCAGTGGACTTGATGCAGAAAGAGGAGTTGGGACCTTCCTGGCTTCGACAGTGTAGCTTTTAATGTGACACTTCGATATTATTTTCCCTCCCTGTAAAATGGGGTAATTTAAGTCTACCTACCTCGCAGCCTATTGTGAGGACTAAAAGGTAACGAGGATGCCGAGTGCCACATAAGTGCTAACTTGTATATTAAGCAGTTTGGTTTTTTTTTTTTCAGTCCTTTAGAGAGGACAGATTCATCGCCAGAAAGGAGACGGTGTTAAAAAGTCACTTCTGTGCCAAGTAGCAGCAGCGTTTCCAGAACCTCTCTTAGCGTTCGGCTGTTCTTGGTCATACTATGTTTTACTGACCTTACATCCATGCTGTAACCTGGATGCTGAACTATTGGGTTCGTACGAGATGTTTTTGAAGCAAAGTGGGTGCAGGTTGGCTGGTGGGTTTGGATTTTTAGTGGGCAAGAGGCAAAAGCAGCGTAATCTCCTTAAAAACGGGAGTCCTTGATCTTCTTTTTTTTTTAAATGGTGCTGGTGTTTGAACCATACCTTATTTATTGGCATCCTAGCGTGAGTATTTATTACTATGGCATGGTTTTTGGTTTATTGCAGGACATTAAACTTTTTTTTTTTCTTTCTCTTTAGTCGCAAACCTCTTTCCTCGTTACTTAGCGTGCTGCTGGCATTCAGGGCTGCTGTAGGTCTCCCATGCTATTCTGTGAGAAGCATTTACCCAAAAATTTTTCAAAACGCTTTCCAAATGCTGCACTAACCTTGCAGTTCCCGGTACTCCAGGCTGGGGCCAGGAAGGTGAATAGAGCTGAACAGTTGAGTGCCAAGGTTTTGAAGAGGCCTCTGATCTTTCTCAGGGTTTAATCCTTAGGACTTTGTTTTTCTAGTGATTTGAGGTCCCTAACTTCACAGCAAAAGCTCCCTACAAAGCCAGACTTCCAGACAGTGTCTCCAACCAAGTACCCAAGTCACTAAACTGGTGGTTTTCAACCTTTTTAGGCTCAAGGCAGCCTTCAGAAAATTCCAACTCTTTGTCTTCTCTCCCTTTTGACTAGAAAAACTTTAATACAGCAATTCTTTTTCCTATAGCAAAGAACTCAAAGCACAACAGGGTAAAATACTTTAATGCTGTGGATTCATCTTTGAAGTAATTGCTTTATTTTGGGGATCGTGGTTGCACACTTAACAGTGCTAACCATGCAGGGTATTCGTGGCACCCTTGAAAGGATCTCCAGACACCCCCAGGGTGCCACCGGGCTCTGGCTGAGAATTGCTGCACGAGATGCTTGGTGATCTTGGTCATTAGGCCTCACAAAGTCGGTGATGCCAGTGTGGTGTGTCCCATTTGAAGTGCCCAGCTGTGGGACTGAAAACCTGCTCTGTGCTTATCCCAATGTAAGGTAACGAGTGCTCCTCGAGTACTTCCAGTGCTTGGTGCTTAACGAGTATAGTCTTCAAGGCTGTCAGCGCTGTCCTATTTCAAACCCTGGAACTGATTAGCTCCTCTTGGCTTTCAGGGCTTCTATTAGGTACCTTGGAAATAAGGAGAGAAGCAGGCATCAGTGGGCTAGCATTTTCAAGGCCTCTAATTGCAGCCTTGTGACTGCTAACTCCCCCTCACTATTTCTGGTGCAGTTAGAGTATGCTTTGTTACTGAAAGATCTTCTGTATTTAATGGGTTTGTGCACTTAACTGATATGCACAGAAGCAGACTTGGTTGTACAGTAAGGTATGGGCAAAGCATTGGGCCCAGCGCTGGGTCACGTGAATTACCCACTTGTCTGGTGTACATGTGAGTGCAGTACCCTGACGTATAATTAGCGTTGTACAGATGGTAAAGGAAGAGGTGTAAGGACTGGGTTTTTAAGTGCTGAGTCTCCTAACCCCTGCCGAAATTAGTGGGGAATTAGGAGCCTAAGTGCTTTACATAGATGACCTTAAGCAAACTGCCTTGGGGTATTAAATGCCATTGCCTTGTTTTGTAAGGAAGTGCAAACACCTGCCTTCCCAGCAGACTCCACTCAAGTGTTGAAGCCCTGCAATTTTGGGGTTCTTGGGCAATTTCCTGCATTTAACCCACATGTGCTTGAGCAGTGCACGATCCCCAGCCAAAGCTGACTTTAAGTGTGGTAATCGTGACTAAGTGCTCCACTGAAAAGCACGTCATTCAGCCACATTTTAAGACCACGTATTCCCATGGACCCCTGCTCCAGAGCAGGAGGCCTGTTGTAAAGGTCTGCAGAGGCGAGTACGGCAGCCGGGGGCTGGGAGTGACTGGGGAGGATGCCAAGCAAAGGCTTGGTGGGTGGCATCATTCTGGCTCCTTGGGGCAGCTGGAGAATGGCCCCAAGGAGCGTTGGAGGCTGAAAAGTTCATGTATCCTTGGACACCACGGAGCTGCTGTAGCTCCCACCCCCTCTCCTCCCCCTGCTGCCCCCACCATGCCAGGGTCCAGGGCACGCACTCTGCTCCCTCCTGCGCCACAGGCAAGGGCAGAGCTGTGCCACCCACCCCTCTGCCCCAGGGGGACGTGCTGGTGGGGCCTTCACCCCCCAGGGGGGCTGGAGTCCACAGCAAGCCCCAGGCCTGGCAGGTGTGCCCTTGATGGCAGCTCTGCCATGCCCAGTTAATGGGGCTTCTGTTCCCTAGGCCCCAGGGTGGTGATGAGCTGGGGAAAAGCACCCTGCACTGCCCCCCCAGTGGTCTCTTCACTGATGG